TGAAACTAATCAGGCCATAACGATGTCTAATTAATTTTAAGATTGCTTGTTCCATTTCCGTTAAATTTTTTATTTTTTCGTGTACTCGACTCGTGCTTCGCACCACATTTCGTATACGAGTAAAACTCGAATACCATCTAGTTTATCTATTGAAAGAGAACAACCACAGAACAAGCTTATACATATTGTTTATATAAAAAAATTCAATTGCGTTTTAGTATACCTTTTTCTTATGTTTCTGTTTTGTATTATTTTCATAAAGATTAAAAGTTAGTATTGTTGTTAACAAATGAAGTGCATACATTATTTTATTATAATTTTCTTTTTTCGCATCAAACTTCCTTATCTTGAATATCCGAACATGACTAAATCTGCTATCTAAGGTTTTTACTAAAAAAATATCCTACGCATTTCCTATATTATTTTTAGCAATCCTATAAAAATTCTATCCTACGTATATATCACACTCAGATCGTTACGAAGCCTACTATAAATGTATAGTGCTGACAAAATTTGTTAAGATTAAATTTACTATCGAAGGTTTGAATGAGCTGAAAATTTAGGGGTTGTAGTCTTAGCTGATAAGGATTTTTGTGCGTATTTAAAAAGTTCAAGCTTTAAACTTTGATCAGTACTTCGATTTCTGAGTTCTCTTTATAGACTGTCTATTGGGAAAATTTAGAATGTGATGCTCAAATTATTCTCAAGCACAATAAATGTGTTTCTCAAAACGTAGTGCTATAGTAATGAAAAAAATTAAAAATCAAATCCATGGAAACCAGTGTTTATGAGAGTGTCTTCACTGCACTAGATTTATGTTCACAGTGTATTCGTTCAAACGAAAACGATAAGATAGAACTCCAAACGCGATATTTTTTAAAGAAATAAAAGAAACACTTTCTAGTTTATCATCATTGTTTTGCTTTAACATATTTAGAATCGATGTCACCTGTTCATATAATAATATCCGGTGCATCTTCTGTTGGTAAATCAACCCTTGTTGAAGAATGTTTACGAAAATTTCGACAAGATAAAAAATTGAAAAATAAACAATTCAAACGGATTCAAGAAGTTGCACGTACTGTATTGAATCGATTAAAACTTACTGGTAAACATTTACAAGAGTACGTTGCACAAAATGATATTGAAAGTTTTTCCAGAGTACAAGAAGAAATAATTCGTGAACAAATTTTACGTTTTGATGAAGAAAAAGATAATAATTATTTATCAGATCGAGCTGGTTTTGATGCATTAGCATACATTCGTCAGTATTTTGACAATGAACAAAAAACGAATTCTATTTGTCGAAGTAAACAATTTCAGTTATTAATAAATCAATGTCAGCATGGTTTAATATTTATTATTCAGCCACAAGAAGATTTGCAAGCACAAAACGATAACATGAGAATAGTTGCAAGTTATAAAGAACAAATTGAATATACAGAATCATTAACATATTGGTATAAAAAAGCAAATTTACCTTATTTTATTTTAACTGATCTTGATTTAACAAAACGTGTTGAATTTATTGAAAAACATATAAACGGTTATTTTCATTGGCTACCACCAGCAATACCAATTCCATTATGTTTACCATTTCATTTAAATAAACATCAACATTATGGACACAATAATGTTGCAACACCATCACATTCAGATCAATCCTATATGCGTTTTATTGAAATATTAGACAAACAAAACATTAAAATAAGTTACAAAAAATATGATAAAAATCGTTTAGTAGAAAAATATGATCCATCATGTTTAAATAATAAATTTGTTTCAATATTATTTGATCAAAAGTTAGATAATACATTTATTGAAGATCTATTATTTCAACAAATTTTAATTAATGGTCAAGCATATAATTTTATTGGTTACAGTAATAGTCAATTACGAGGTCGTTCATGTTATCTATATGCTGGTTCAACTGAAGAAATAGAATCAATCATTAATGATAATGGAGATTTTCATAAAATAAAAAATCGTAGCAAAAGAGCCGCGCGTATTGGATTATTATTTTCAAGTTGTACACCAACACTTCATATTGAATCTGATCACGTTATTGAAATTGATGATATTGAAAGAAATGGTTACACTTTTACTGATGGGTAATTCTTAGTCAAAATTTGTTTTCGTTTAAACGTAGTGTGTAAGGAGATGGTGAAAAAACTACAGCAGTAATTTGAGCGTAAACGTTTTTGAAATTAAAAAATTGAAGCCAAACATTTTCTTTTTATTTTAAAGTTTGTATTTTCCAATACGAACTTTCTGACATGGAAAAGAAGTTTTCCTTTCAAAAATGCGTATCTGCTCAGTGCATCTCTCTATATTTCTTAGGAATTATACAAAATCTCTTTATAATTCTATTTTATATTTCTAAAAACAAGAATCACATATCCGAAATTATCAGTCGTAATAAATTTTACTTCACATTTTTCTCAATAATTTCTACTAAGGGTATTTTTCCCTTCTCTAGAACGTCTGATGAATTTGCAAGATCATGAAATCGCAATGTTGAAAAATGGCCTCAGTATTTTTCTAGGGATGCTAGACACTGTTTGGTGTGCTTAACTTTCTGTGCTTCTATTTTTCTCTTTCGAATAAAAAGGCTAAACTACGCAAATAACTTCAAAAACAGCAGATTCTTCTGAATATATCCTGATTCTATTCTTTTTCTTCGTTTCTTAATATATTTGTATTCGAGCAGGAGAATGTTAAAATAAAAGTTTAGAAAACATGCTAGACTCAATAATGAATGCGGCCATTGATCTATCATTCACATATGTTCATTGCTATTAGCTTTTCGCATTTGTCTAAAGAAAGACAACAGTCACTCTCAAGTTTTTTGCTTTTGCACTTGAATTTCCATGGCCATCGTTCATCAAGCTAATGTAACGATATACAGCAACTAATATGGTTGTTTTTAGTCTCACGCGCATATTCATGCCATTTTTTATTCTTGAATATAATCGAATTTTTTCTATTAATATAGATGTGGAATTATTGGTCGATGCTTAGCTAAAAAGATTGTTCCTTATTTAAATGATTTCAAAAAGCCACTAATAACATTAAATGAAAATAATCCAGTCGAAGATAATACTTGCCCATGCGCATTTCAAATACGTTATCAAGGTTGCAAAGGTAATTCGTATGAATTTAATTACGTCTCATTAAAACATGTATTTTAAGGCGTATTAATGATAAATGATGATGATGAAGATGAAACTATTCAAATTCGTCCATCAATGAAAAAATTTACAAGTACAATCAGTACATGTTTGTATGTTTGTGACGATGGATATTCAAAGCCAAAACTTGGATTTCTCATTAAACAATTTATAATGTTATTATCTGGTTTAAATATTCCAGATGAAATTTTTTTTAAAATACAGAAAGAACATTTTGATGAAATTGTGACAATGTGCGATGATATGAATGTTGCTATGAAATATTCACTTTATTTTGATCGCATTGATTTGGTCTATCATTTGTTATCAAATGATATTCAATTGATTCAATCAGAATTACAAATACTACGGAAAAAAGCTTTAGAATCTGTTGAGAAATTAAAAATTCCAATCACAAAATCACGTTTAGCTTTGGGAGTTTGTGATCCATGTAAGTCAAATTAATAATTTGAAGTATTGAAGCTCGATAGGCAATTCTCCGACTGACTGGTAGTTTTAAACATTTATGATTGAGTACATGGGCATGTCAATTCATATTTGAATAAATAAATTTATCAATAGAAGATTTTCAGCCGACAGAAAAATTGTTAACCGGATCATTCTCTGGTCGAAATTAAGATATAGTTTTGTTTCAGTTATATATCAAATAGATTTCTGAAAAACTATGGCAAAGATTTTAAGAAAAAAAACCAAATTTCTTATCATTCTGGAGGAATAAATCTGTGCCATTTTGACAGATATTTATCACATGATACTGAGAGCAATTAAAATGATGTTCGAAAGCAGCATCAGATACTGACTTGACAACCTCTCATAATTTAGTTTTCCGTCACTTCATTCTTGAGATATCAACATCTTACTTGGTTTTTCGAAAAAAGAATTTGCTGGCTCCGATTAGGCCACTCGAAAATTCTCATTTCCAAAAATGTGTGAAAGCATATTTCGTTCATATTGTCAGAAACGAAATACCAGAATAGTTAAAACTTGTACGATCAACTATAATGCCATTAAAAATATTTTGTTAGTGCGAAGACTGAATCCAAAGCTCGAAAGTCGATTTTCCACGAGACATTGAGAGGACGAAAAGGGAAAAGCGCTCCTCTTGTTCTGATTTTATGCATATGCTTTTATGTCGTATTTAGTTGGTGTACTAAAACCTGGTGAAGTTTATTTTCGTCCAACGTTTAATGGAAGACAATTTATGATTGATTCAAAAATATGTTTTGTAGCAAAATCTCCAAGTTATCATTTAGGTGATATTAGAGTTTTAAAGTTAACGTCATATAAACAATTACAATATCTGTACGATGTTATTGTTTTTCCGACGGAAGGCCGACGTCCACATCCAAATGAAATTGTATTTAAATATTTTTTGAATAAAAAACAGAGCAATTCATTATATGACGAAGTTTGTTGTTTTTGTTTTAGGCTGGAAGTGATTTAGATGGTGATAAATATCTCATTTGTTGGGATAATGACTTAATTCCAAAACAAACAAATCAACCTATGGATTATAATTCGACAGCAAAAGCACAAGAATCTGAAATCATCACACGAAAAGAAATGATATCTCATTTTGCTAATGCGCAAAAGAATAATCAATCAGGTATTATCGATAATTATTATAATTACTGGGCAAATCTCCTTGGCGTCGCGTCAATTCAATGTCGTCGACTAGCAGAATTATTTTCTGAAGCTGTTGATGCTCCAAAAACGGGACAAAAAATTCGAATTCCAGTTGAATTAAAACCACCAAGAAAAGAAGAGCAACAATTGCCGAATGAAATAAGTTCAATACAAAGTAGCCAAGGTAGATTTTAAACATATCTATCATTCCTTAAAAATATAAGTTCAGCAGTTTTGAAGAGAGCAAAATAATTTTTTCTTGGTTTTTTAAATAACTAAACTCGAATTTAAAATCAATATCAAAGATAAAAACGTGGAAAAAAAAAGTTTCTTGAATGTAACTTGAGTCACTGTGTCATAGTGTACTTCATAGTATTAAGCATTTCGCCATTTTTTTGAAGAATCTATTAATCATACCCATCAGTGAGAACAGCCAATTCAGAGCTATTAACTACGCCCTCCGAAATGATCTGACACTGTTATCTTCTTCATTATATGAAGGTTGAGTGTGAAATATCATATAGCAGTCAGATGAATCAAAAGCCAAATATTCACTATTCGGGTCAATACGATGGATTACTTCTGCTTAACTGTTTTTCTCGGTGACTAACAATCAATTAACTGAAGTATGGATTCTGAGGAAAAGTTTTATAAATGTTGAATGGAACTAGTAAAGAATTTTGACTTTATATTGACCGACAGAATATATGTGAGATCTTCGACTCAGTGGCGGACCGGGATTTTCGGCTAGGGGGAGCTGAGCCCCCACCCCCCCTCCAGC